GGCAAGGTGTTCAAATATTTTCCAAATCATTTCATATATATATATATATATATGGTATCAGATTGATCTAATTTCTGTGCACTGAGGACAAGCAAGTCCTAGGTTACAAACTGAACTCTCCAATGCAAGAACAAGATACATTTCTTCCTTTAGGAGGTGCGATTGTCAGAAGAAAATAAAAAATCAGTTTTGTTTTTGCATGCGGTATTCTGTTTGTAATAATTGTTTGGATACACTATATTTTTAATATGCTAGTTGTGATAATTTCATGCCAAGTAAAAATGTCCATAGTCATATTTTATGTTCCTAAAGTAACAGAATGACTTTCAATCTAGAAAAGACAAAAGAAATGCTAATATAGCATTTTTTCAATTTTTCTGAAAATTTTCGTTTTTTTCCGAACTTCAAAATTTCCGGAAATTTTACATCTCTAGGCTGGGCAAGCTGCCAACAAAGGTGGCGAGGTGGTGAGAGAGACCAGAGGATTCGGTGCAACACTGTCGCAGGGGGGGCAGGCAAGTTGCCCCCATTATAGCAGTGCAGAGACTGAACCACTGAGGCAGAGAAGAGTCTGAGGAAGCCGCTGGCTGAGGCGCCAAAGCCGCTGGGCCAGGTGAGGTGCTGCAGCTGCAAAGACTGTGAACCTGCTTGGGGGGGGGCTGAGTGACCCACAGCAGCAGTCAACAGGCAGGGAGGCTGGGTGAGTCACCACAGCTAATGAAGTAAGGGAGAGTGATGGGTGGGTGAGACAGAAGCAGAGAGAAAAAAGTGATCAGGTGAGGGAGACAGAAAAGACAAGGAGTGACTGTAGGCATGGGGGAAACGGAGAGAGACTGAGACCAATTTCGCACAAGAGCTGCACCGCGGTCGCACCTCCCTTTGCCCCGCTTCCATCAGTCAATTTCCCACTTGAAGCCGCGCGGCCGCGTTTTGACCCGCGGCTTCGTCCGATTTCCCCCGCGGTTTCGTGATCCTGTTTTTCGAGGATCACGAAACCGCGGGGGAAATTGGGCGAAGCCGCCAGTCAAAATGCAGCCGCGTGGCTTCGAGTGGGAGATTGACCAACAGAGGCGGGGCAAAGGGAGGCGCGACTGCGGTGCAGCTCTTGTGTGAAATCGGTCTGACGGAGAAAGACAGAAAGTAAGGGGAAAGGGGGGGAATAAAAGGTAGGTGAAATGGGATTGCCCCTCCCACAAGTTGCTTGCTGGTCCCCACCATCTCTGCCTTTTCTCATGAGCCTCCGAGGCTGTGAGGTTACAGGCAGGGACGGCGGAGTTGACAGCGCGGCGGGGTGGAGGAATCATCACCCACCTAGCCACGAGAACGGCTGCCGCCTCTGCCACGGGAACTGCCACTGCCACCCACCACCATACCTACCATATACCCCCCCTGCCACAGCTTTGTGAGTGGGAGAGCAGTGGCCATGCCAGCTCGATCCCTCTCTCTGTATTGGGGGACATCAATATTCTAGCATTGGTTTTAATAAAAAACCCACAAAAGCCCTGGCGGCCCAAGAGAAAGGGGTGGCTGCCAGTGTTCCCTCTAAGCTGAGTTAGTGTGAGCTAGCTCATAGATTTTTAGCCTCTGGCTCACACATTTTTGTCTTCGCTTAGGAAGGGTGGCTCCAGAGCAAACTGATTTGTGCAGCGGCCAAATCGCTCGCTCCCAACTTGAATGCCAGTAGCTCACAAAGTAGAATTTTCGCTCACGAGACTCCACAGCTTAGAGGGAACATTGGTGGCTGCTACTAGGGGAATTGGGGCAGGCAAACTGCCATGGAACCCACCATGGGGAAGCTCCATTGCAGCTGTGCAGCCAGACCAGCAACGGGGAAACCACAAAAATCCCATCGCTGTGTGGAAGGTACCCTTCTCACCGGTACAGTTCAACGAGAAGCAAAACTGGATCTCTTCCGTGGACCTCTTCTTGTGCCATTTTCTCTTCCACCCACCCCATTTCTTCTCAAGAGAAGGTTTTTTGGGGATAGGAGATCTGGCCCAAGAATGTCCCAATTTCCTCTCCTCTCAACAACTTCCATTTGTCTGTTTTACAGCCTCCCCATTGGTCTCAACTCCCTACCCCCACCAGTTCTTGAGCGCTCATGGGGGAAATCCTCTCGAATGCTCACTTGACAGTGCAGCATAACAAAAAAAATATTTTATTTATTTATTAAATTTATATCCCCAGGGGCAGATTAACCATGAAGCAGACTAGGCACGTGCTTAGGGCACCAGGGCCAAAGGGGGCACGACAAAGTTGGGGAAAGGGTGAAAAGCTTAGTTTGTACAGTATATTGTGTTATCCTATGAATACATGTTTGTATTGCTGCAACCTGCATTGTCTATCTGGTCAGACAGGTCAGCAACTAAAATGGACTAGGTCAGTGTGGAAAGGAGGGGGGGAGCACCAAGATGGGTCAGTGCTTAGGGCACCAGTGAGCCTTAATCTGCCCCTATATTTTATATTTATTTATTTATAAGTTCAATTTATACCCCGCCCTCCCTGCTACGCGAGCTCAGGGCGGCTTACAAAGAGGTACAAGCCAGTATAAAACATATTTAAAACCATTTAAAGCCACTACAGTACAGTAACATTAATATTAACAAAAGTGCTCTAGATGTTCTACCATGATATTCCACAGATGGCATATTACAACTACTCTATTACACTGCTCTACCTACTCAGCGTCATCTGTTCTGGGAAACGCTGACGTTCCTTCTTCCAGGGCCGGGTTATGATGGAACAGTAGTGATGGTAGTGGCGGCTCCTACTCATACGCCTGGCGGAAGAGCTCCGTCTTACAGGCCCTGTATCCCGCACCTCCCTGCCGAGGCAGGCTCAGGGCGGCTCACAATATATATACACATATAAATGTATGTGTTAAAACACTGACATACAGTGAAACCCAGATCGATTAAAATCACAATATAGAACATCATACATTCAACAGATGTTAATACCAGATGGCGTCAATCTCTCAGCAGTAGACGGTCACCTGCCCCCGATCCAGGCTCGTGCCAGGCTGTTAAGGGGGCCCCCCTAATTGAAAGCCTGGTGGAAGAGCTCCGTTTTACAGGCCCTGCGGAACTGTAAGACGTCCCGCAGGGCCCTGATGTCTCCCGGTCTCAAGATACAGTACAATACTTTACATGGACTGGAGTCCCTTCTTGAATACACACTCACACCAGTCAATAGTATGTTACCGGAAAGGTGCATTCCAGTCATGACCAGTGTCCCCTCTAAGCTGAGTTAGTGTGAGCTAGCTCACAGTTTTTTAGCCTCTGGCTCACACACTTTTGTCTTAGCTCAGGAAGGAGGGCTCCCGAGCAAACTAATGTATGCAGAAGCCGAGTCACTCGCTCACAGCTTTCAATGCCAGTAGCTCACAGGGTAGAATTTTTGCTCACGAGACTCTACAGCTTAGAGGGAACATTGGTCATGACAGATTTCCTACAGAGGACTCCAGACTGCTTACCGTATCGTGGAAGGTCTTCACAACAGTTTTTGCCTTCTGTGCTTTGTCACCCTGTCCTTGTGCTTGGGTCAACGCTTCGTCATAGAAATGTTTTACGTCTTTGGCAACCTAGAACAGAAGAGAGGAAGAGATAAAGGAAAGTGACACAGTAACAAGGAAACGAGAATACCCAAATGTGTTTCCCAACATTATAATTAAAAAGTAAACTAAGAAATACCCAGTCTTGTAAATCTTAATTTGGAGAAAATGTTAATGACAGTGTATGTGTGTATATAAGGAGCTGCGGTGGCTCAAGTGGTTAAGACGCTGAACTGCAGGCTGTGGAAGGTCGGTAGTTCAGCAGTTCGAGACCCGGGTGCCGCATGACGGAGTGAGCTCCCGTCTCTAGTTCCAGCTCCTGCCAACCTAGCAGTTTGAAAGCAAGAAATTGCAAGTAGATAAATAGGTACCACTTCGGTGGGAAGGTAACAGCGTTCCGTGCGCCTTGGTGTTTAGTCATGCCGGCCACATGACCACGGAAACGTCTTCCAACAGCGCTGGCTCTTCGGCTTTGAAACGGAGATGAGCACCGCAACCCTAGAGTCGGACTCGACTGGCTTTCGATCAAGGGAACCTTTACCTTTTAATAAATGCCCAGTCTTGTAAATCTTAATTTGGAGAAAATGTTAATGACAGTGTATGTGTGTGTATACATGACCTGCATCCTAAGCACTAATTCTTGATGTACAGGGCATGCTACCAAGAATTAGTGAGATGGGCACTACATGTTATTACTTATTCCATGTTCCTAAAAGTTCATTTGCTTTTTTCTACTACAAAGTGATTGAGGGAGAGAGTGGTGTATAGGGGAAAAAGCAGCAAGCAGACGGGAGATGTTCTTAACTGAAGCTCAGTACAGAGATGCTGGTGAAGTGTGGCCAGCTCTATTTATTATGTTGTTTTATTTACTTTATTTTATACCCCACCTTTCATCCCAGTAGGGACCCCAAAGTGGCTTACATCATTCCCCTCCTCTCTGTTTTAGCTTCACAACAGCTCTGTGAGGTCGGTTAGGCTGAGAGTGTCAGTCATTCAGTTTATTTCTACAGTCCTTAGACCGGTCATACAAAAAGAAGTATGCCTTTAACAATAACAACAACAACAACAACAACAACAACAACAACAACAACAATAATATACTTTATTGTCATTGTACATAGTACAACGAAATTAAGGTGCAATCATTCGGTGATCTACAAGCATACTCATATACACTCACACAACCATACTCATATACACTCACACTCACACAACCATTAGGGTTCACATTGCAACTTAACCACCAATGTCACCCAAATTCCAATTCATACAGCATTTAAAGCAATAATAGCTCTCGAATAAAAACTGTTTTTTAATCTGTTTGTCCTTGTTTTGATCGTCCTATATCTTCTACCCGAAGGCAGCAGTTCAAACAGGGAGTGTTCAGGGTGTGACAAATCCTGCAAAATGTTCTTTGCTTTTTTCAAGCATCGAGAACTATACAATTCCTCCATGAGTGGGAGAGGACAGCCAATAATCTTCTGGGCTGTGATGATAACTCTCTGGAGTGCTTTCCTCTCCACAGCCGTACAACTGGCAAACCAGACACAGACACAGTATGTTAAAATGCTCTCTATTGAGCAGCGATAGAAAGACATCAGTATTTTCTCACTCAAGTTATTTTTCTTTAAAAGTCTGAGGAAAAAAAAGCCTCTGCTGGGCCTTCTTCACCAGAGCAGTGGTGTTAGTGCTCCAAGTCAAGTTCTGCTCAATAATCACTCCCAAAAACTTAAAAGTAGCCACCCTCTCCACACGTTCTCCACCAATAAACAGTGGCTGAATGTCCGTTTTGTTCCTCCTATAGTCCACTACCAATTCCTTGGTTTTGGTGGTGTTGAGGATCAAATTATTTTCCCTGCACCAAACACAAAGCCGTTCCACCTCGTCCCGATAAGCAGACTCATCATTCCCAGAGATGAGCCCCACCACAGTGGTGTCATCAGCAAACTTGATGATGGTGTTACTGGGGTGGGTGGGGGTACAATCCTGTGTGTAGAGGGTATAGAGCAAGGGGCTCAACACACAGCCTTGTGGAGAACTGGTATTAAGGGTAAGGGCTGTGGACATATAGGACCCTACTCTAACCCTCTGGGGGCGGGCTGTCAAAAAGTACAATATTTGGCTGAGAGTGTGTGACTGGCCCGAGACTACCCAGCAAACGTCCATGGCACAAAGGGAGATTCAAACCTGGATTTCCCAGATCCTAGGCCAACACTAACCGCTACACTACGCTGGCTCTCCGAGGCAACAGACATACCTGGCCTGCATGGCATCGTTCTCCCTCTAAAGAAACAGGTTCTCAGCTTGGAAGTACTCCTGGATTCCCCACTGTCAGCTTCATTTGGCACTTTCAGGAAACTAAAACGTTACTACCAGGGCTTTTTTTTTGTAGAAAAAGCCCAGCAGGAACTTATTAACATAATAGGCCACACCCACAGCAGAAACTCATTAGCATATTAGGCCACACCCCTGACAGCACAGCTCATTGGCATATTAGGCCACACCCCCATGTTACCAGAAGTGTGGTCATCCAGCCACACCTACCTTTCCCTTCTTATTCTGTTTACCTTCTTTGTTGTCCAAGCCCAGGGCTTTTTTGTAGCAGGAACTCCTTTGCATGTTAGGCCACACACCCCTAATGTAGCCAATCCTAATGCGTTTCTGCTGTTAGGTGTGGCCTATTATGCTAATGCGTCCCTGCTGGGTGTGGCCAACTTGGAAGCCAGCCGGAACTCCGTTCCTGTGCGTTCCTGCCCCAAAATAGCCCTCGTTACTACATGTTGCATGTGTCCTGGTAACGTCTTGACTCCTGTGAAGCATTTTGTGAAGGACTGCCCTTGAAGGTAATTCAGAAGCATTTGCTGGTCCATAAGATAGCACCTAAGCTTGGATCACATATCCTACTAATGCTTCTCCGCTGGTTACCGTTCAGTGTTTTGAGGCTGAATTCAAGGTGCTGGCTTCAATTCAGAAAAGCTTTATAGAGCTTGTGCCTGGGATATTTGAGATATTGTCCCGCAGGCTCCTCCCTATATTTTGAGATCTGGCATTGAGGCCTTCTTGTAGATGCCACTACTTTCAAAAAGTGAGACTGGCTACTATTGGCAGTTAAAGCTTTTTGGTGGCACCTCACCCCCCCCAAATGGGCAACTACTTCCTCTAATAATCAGGCCAGAACAACTTAGCTGACCCTTTTAGAAGGGTTACAACCAGGGGTCATTTCGGGTGGGAATGCGGGGAAACGCAGTTCCCCCGGGTGAGGTGCAGGGGGGCGGGGCACATGACGAAGCCCCGCCCCCTGCTTCCGGCCACCCCGCTTCTGGCCCTCATTCAGCCAGGAGGAGGCAGGAGAAGAGGGAGGGTAAGTTGCTTCCTCCCCGCCTCTCCCCACCCCTGCCTGCCTGGGGCCAGGGAGGGCCTTGGCGGGGCTTCCTCGCACTCCCGCTGGCCTTGCAGGTCCACCGCCGGGCCCCTGATGTCAGGGGGTGTGGCATATGCTAATGAGTTATGCTAATGAGTTCCCCTAGCTCTTTTTCTACGAAATGACCCCTGGTTACAACTCTTTTAAAAACAGAGTTTGGGCTGTACATGGCTGGGAGTAGTGGTTTTAAGTGTTGCCTCCTGTTTTATACTGCATTTATGCTGATATTATTAAAACACAACATTATTAAGAATCCAAATTTAAACTGCTTCGTACTGTGACAAGTTACCATTGCAAATAAGTGAGTGTTCTTAAAAGGTCTCATCGGATTTTCAGGGCTCTTTTTATAGAAAAAGCCCAGCAGGAACTCATTAGCATAATAGGCCACACCCAACAACAGGAACTCATTAGCCTATTGGGCCACACCCCTGTCAGCGCAGCTCATTAGCACATTAGGCCACACCCCCATGTTACCAGAAGGGTGGTTATCCAGCCACACCCACCTTTTGCTTCTTATTCTGTTTACCTTGTTTGTGGTCAAAACCCAGGGCCTTTTTTTTAGCAGGAACTCCTTTGCATGTTAGGCCACACACCCCTAATGTAGCCAATCCGAATGAGTTTCTGCTGTTGGGTGTGGCCTATTATGCTAATGAGTTCCTGCTGGGTGTGGCCAACTTGGGAGCCAGCCAGAACTTCGTTCCTGTGCGTTCCTGCCCAAAAATAGCCCTGTTAAATATTATAGGCTGAGGTAGTTTTAACAGGTTTTATACATTTTATAGAGGTTGAATCCCCCTCTCTCTTTTATCCTATGTTATACACAAACTCTCTGAGAGTGCTTGATATTGTGAAGGCCTATGGCCACATACAATAAAGTGATTCTGATACTGTGACATGCTTTGCCGCCTTCATTCAAATAGCAGTCTACAAACACAGACACACGCACACTCGTCACAAGCCCACTGCTTCCCCATTTCAACTTCTCTCCCTTTTCCCGGGTTCTAGCCCCGCATGTCTGTCACTAACATGCATCTTGCAGAAAAGGTAATGTCACAAACTAGGTGTTCTCCAGTGTATGTAGGTCTTAAGACCTAGTCATACTGGAAAGTGATGAGACAGAGAAAACAGATAAAGTCACTAATTGGGAGAGAGACGTAAGCAGGAAAAGTAGCAAGCAAGGAGATGGTGAGGGCTCTTTCCTGTGAGAGAATGATCTTATTGTGGCTCACAAGGAGAAGGAAGATGTAATGCTTATGGTACAGGTTTTCTTTTTTTCCAAACACTAAATAAATGCATTTACGGCCTCTCTCCCCAATGCGGGCCCAAAGCAGCTGACATCATTCCTCTCTCCTCCATCTTCTCCTCACAATGACTCTGTGAGGTGGGTTAGGGTGAGAGCGTACGACCGGCCCAAGGTCAACCAGCAAGCGATCATGGTAGACTGGGGATTCAAACCTCAGTCTCCGAAATCCTAGCCTGACATTTTAACCACTATATTAGTAAAGCTCCCTTGCTCGAAAGCCAGTTGAATCCGACTCTAGGGTTGCGGTGCTCATCTCCGTTTCAAAGCCGAAGAGCCAGCGCTGTCCGAAGACGTTTCCGTGGTCATGTG